TTTTGCAATTTATGTAGTTACTATGGACTTAATGCATACATATTATTAAAATTTGGGCTATAACAGTTGTATTGATGTATAGCAACTTGAAATGCTCCCAAAAATGGCACTACAGCATGTAAAAATATAAAGTAAACTCTTGCAGACTTTTCTATGGTAGGTCTTAAACGGTTAAGCCCTGCCCCTTCTTCTTGTTTTTCACTGAAGGGCGGTGTGCACGATTCATGTCAATAAAAGGCAATGGCAATGCAATAAAATGCAATGACTAAGGTCAGAAAATCTGAAAGCTGTCATGAGCTCATTTTTACGAAGTAATTTGCTCTTGTTCATTTTGCTGTATTCCTACTTTTCTTATGCTATGTCCTCTTCTGTGTTTCCCTCCTCATGTCAGCTACAGGGGCAATTTCATCTAAACATAATGCACAAGAGTGGAGATGTCATCCTGGGTGGATTGTTTCCAGTCCACTTTTTCTCAAGTGTTCCTGACCTGTCTTTTGCCTCAGAGCCACAACAGCCTTCTTGCCATGGGTAAGTATGATAGGGTGAAATAGGGAAGTAAAACAAGGTAAATATGACAGGGAAACAACAAAAAGAGAGAGAACAGGGACAAACCTAATGCTAATTTAAATATAAATGTTTTGTCTAAAGTAACTATACTTTGTTTTCTTCGCTGACGCTCAGAATAATGTATACTGACTGAAGCTTGTTCTTGATTATTTTTTCATTAAAATATCCCTATAATTGTTGTTATTTAGTTTCCTTAATTGTTTGTATGAGTATCTTTGTAACATGTTTTCTAATGATGTATTTTTCGAATCAAAATGTTTTTTTATTAGTTTCTATGTTCAGGGGTTTAGGCAAGCACAAACCATGGCTTTTGCTGTTGATGAGATCAACAACAACTCCAACTTGCTGCCTAATGTGACTGTGGGATACACTCTTTATGACAACTGTGCTGAACTTAGAATTGGATTCCGTGGAGCGTTGTCATTAGCCAGTGGTCAAGAGGAACAAATTATATTACATAATACATGTGTTGGAAAACCTCCAGTCCTAGCGATCGTGGGTGAAACTTCCTCTACACGTTCTATTGCTATCTCCAGCGTCTTAGGTTTGTACAGAGTACCCATGGTAAGTTTTCA